AATATATTTGAAATCTATGCATTCAACAAAGTCCATGTATCCAGAATATACAAAGAACTCTCAAGCTCAACAACAAGAAAACAAATAACACAATTAAAAAATGGGTAAAGGACTTGAATAGACACTTCACCATGGAGGATAATATAAGGATGACAAATAAGCACATGAAAAGATAGTCAATATCATCAGCCATTAGGGAAATGCAAATTAAAAACATCATAAGATACCATATACTTATTTGAATGGCTAAAATTAAAAAAAAAATACTGACAATACCAAATGCTGACAAGTATATGGAGCAATTAGAACTCTCATACATTTCAAATGGGAATGTAAAATGGTACAGCCACTGTGGGAAATGATTTGGTAATTTCTTATGAAGTGAAGTATGTATTTGACCCCCAGCAATCCCACTCCTAGATATATGTATAGCCTAGACTCTAGGCCCTAGAGAAATGAAAACTTTGTTTACACAAAAATCTATACATGACTGTTCACAGTCATTTTATTTGTGATAGTCAAAAGCTGGACACCACCCCAACACTCTTACACACGTGAATGGATAGACAAACTGTGGTACGTCCATATCATAGAATACTATGCAACAATGAAAAGGAATAAACGATTGATACCCACAACTTGGATGAATCTTACAGATATTATGGTGAGTGAGGGGGCTTGGCTATAATGGTGGAGGACAGATCAGTAGCTGCCAGGAGTTTGGGGTGAGGTGAGGGTCCTTTGCCACTCCCGATAATTTTCCTTGCTTTCAAGTCTGATCTGTTTGAAAGTCTGTCCTGCTTTCTTTTGATTAGGGTTAGCAGCATATGTTTTTCTCTATCCATTTCCTTTTAATCTTTATATTTAAAGTGGGTTTTTGGTAGACAACATAGAGTTGGGTCTTGTTTTTTTGATCCACTCTGACAATCCCTGTCTTTTAATTGGTGAATTTAGACCATTGACATTCAAAGTGATTATTGATATAATTGGATTCATATCTACCATATTTGCTACTTTTTTTTTTAACTTATGGACAGTGGCCATAACTTTTGCAATTTGAGGTGCGACCACAAAACTAGCATGGGTTTCTTTTTCCTTCTTTACAATTTAAGAGATAGAAGATTTGGTCACACCATAAATATTAGCAATCTCAGCATATGATTTTTTTTCTTTCCTTATTGAGAACTCACCTTTTCACTTAAAAAGGGACATTATAGCTTCTCTTTGGCATATCTGAATTGCTAGCATCACTACTTTTGTGCTTTGGGGCCATTTTTAAGTAAAATAAAAGTCACTTGAACACAATCACTTCCACACTGTGACAGTCGATCTGATAACTGAGAGGGCTATTAAGTGACTAACAGGCGGGTCATGTACCATATTTCCCCATGTATAAGATGCACCCTTTGGGGTCTAAAAATTGGGTGTGTCTTATACAGTCATTGTAGATTTTTTTTTACTTGCATTTCCTGCTTTTTCGCGCTTGTTGTCTTTACGCTCATTGTTTGGCACTTGTTACCGGTATATTACGGTAGGTTACGTTTTGCCACGTTCTGCCCAGAAATGGCTCAGAAAAGATTTTCATACAGTGCTGAATTCAAGTTAAAAGTGATCCAGTTTGCAAAAGTGAATGGAAATCGTGCTGCTTAACGTAAGTTTGGTCCTCCTCCAACTGAGAAAAAATCCAAGACTGGCTACGGGAAGAAGAAGCCCTACTGAAAACGCCACGGCAGAAGAAGGCCATGAGAGGCAACATATGAAGACAGTGATTCGTCATCAGACACAGATGAGGACAAGCTAATGGTTGGGAGTTTTGACAGTGATGAGGAGTTGTATGAATTTTATGATGAATAAAACTTGAGTTCGATAACTTTATGTAATACATTTTTTTTCAAATTTTGGGCCCCCAAATTAAGATGCATCTTATACATGGGGGAATATGGTATATAGCTTGAATATGCTGGACAAAGGGACGACGCATGTCCCAGGCAGGACAGAGTGGGAGGGCATGAGATTCATCACACTACTCAGAACAGTGCTCAGTTTAAAACTTATATTTATTTCTGGAAATTCCCATTTAATATCGTCAGACCAAGGTTGACCACAGGTAACGGAAATTGCTGAAAGAGAAGCTGCGGATAAGGGGGGTACTACGGTACTTGGGGAAATTCTCAGTCATTATTATTGTTTCCAGTACTTCTTTGTGTTTCTTTCTCTGTTTCTTCTTCTGGTATTCTCATTATGTGCATTACACCTTTTGTAGTTGTCCTACAGTCCTTGGGTATTTTGCTGTTTTTATAGACTTTGTTCTCTTTGCTTTTCAGTTTTGGAAGTTTGTACTGAGATAGCCTCTAGCTCAGAGAGTCTTTCCTCAGCTGTGTCCAGTCTACTAATAAGCCCATTCAAAGCATTCTTTATTTCCATTTCAGTGGGGTTTGATCTCTAGTGTTTCTTCTCGGTTCTTTCTTAGGATTTCCATCTCTCTGCTCATGTTGCCCATCTGTTCTCATATGCATCCACTTTACCCACTGGAGCCCTTAGCATTTTAGTCATAGTTGTTTTAAATACCCGATCTGATAATTCCAACATTCCTGCCATGTCTGACACAAACTGTGTTTTTTGCCTTTCACATACCTTGTAATTTTTTCTTGAGAGCTGGGCATAATGAGTGAGTAAAGGGAACTGCTGTAAACAGGCCTTTGGTGATATGGTGGTGAGGTGTAGGGGTGGGGGGTGGGGAGAAGCATTCTGTAGTCCTGGGATTAGATCTCCACCTTTTAGTGAGCCTGCCTCTGACTGTGAACTTCACTAGGTTTTTTACCCTCCCTCCTGAAGAGGAACAGCATGGATAGAGTGGGCTGTAGTTGGTTATTTTTCTTCTCCTCATAGAAGGCTAGAGCTTCCTAGAGTTGTGTGTTTCTCTTCTCCCAGGTCAGTTAGGCTCTGATGACACCCCAACAGGTTAGGCTCTGGTTAACGAGTTTTGCCAACATTATTCTGCACAATAGGAAAACAGACTCGATCTTATAGTTTGAAACTAGGAAAGTATTATTAGCACAACTGTCAAGCACATATTTCTGTGTTGGTTTTCCTTATCAAGATATATCATACTGAGGCAGGAAAGATATAAATAGAAATAGAAACAAAAGTATATGTAGGTCAGAGGCAGCAAGAGAACATTCATAAATCGTTTCGCAAGAGAACGTTTATAAATCGTTTCGCAGTATACGTCTATCTTTTCAAGGTAGCTACACAATTTCAAGGGCAAGCATTTAACAGAAATATTTGAGAGCACTGGAAAAATTTAAAAGAATCTTCAGACTACACAACCAAACTCACTGCCCTTCTGCGCAAGTCTTGTGCTGGGTGCCAAAATATGCAAAGTTCCTATTGATTCAGAAGGTTCCTCCCTTAGGTAAAATTAGGGTCAAGGCCAAAGTATAAAGAGTGGGATCATCAGCTCTGTACTCCTGAGTCAAGTTCCCCTGCTGGACCCCCTGCAGGGCAGCCTGGGAGACAAGCAGAGTATACACTGAGGTGAGTGCTAAGAGAGGTAAGTGGGAGGGAGCCTCCTAAGCCAGGGATGTCAGCTGGGCACGGGCACAGAGACCCAGTCCAGGACTAGGATCACAGCAGTCCGGCTGAAGGGTGCCAGCTGAGTTTGGAGAGCTAAGGTAGTTTGATTGCTCCTTGTAGGCAATGGGGAGCCTTTGGAGCACTTTGAACAATACAGTGATATGATAGAAATTGCTCTTTAAAGTGGTTTTCTTTGCAGCTAGTTGCTTATGGGTTTATCCATCTCTACTAGCCTGTCAGCCTTGCAGAGATTGTGTCTGATTCCCCATTGTCCTGGGATTCAAAGCTGATTCCAGCCGCTTCCTCATCACTCTGCCTATCAGAAAGGGCAGCCCCTCTGAGTAGACCCAGTCTTATCAGAACAAGGCTCAGTGACCACACCTGTGTGAGAAAGATCTTCCAGGAAGATGCAGCTCACACACAGTTCCATGGCTTGGTGAGTGGAGCCCACTAGATTTCATCCCCACTTGCTCCTCATTCAGGCAGGTGCCATACACACCTGCATAATGTCAGGTGGAGACCCCAAGGAAACACAGGTGGGGACTAGTTCAGAGGTGGTCAGATTAGGCACTGACTAGCGTAGTGATAGGGGGTGAGGAAGAAGAGGAGAGGTCTAGAAGACACTCACACTCTTTTGCACTTTGACTGGAATGGCTGCTCTCAGGGATCCTGGGGCTTGTTTGCCACGAGCACAGGCCTTTCTAACAAGTTGGCTCTATTTAGCTCCTCAGTGATGCCTCTGCTAGAAAATTCTGTTTTCAAAGTCTGGTCTCAAGGCTTTTGCTTCTCCATAGATTGGCCTCAGTTTCCTCCATTCTCATTTGACTCTATTTAAGCATAAGAGCTTACCCAAGGAAGCTTTTTTTTTCTTTTACTTTAATAGAACTTATAAATCCTGTCTTAGAAAGAGGCTGTGAAGGACATTGAATCATTGGTTGGCAATAATATTCTTGTAGTGAAAAGGATTACTGGTTCTCAGCCTTGGCTACACATTGAATCATCTGGAGAGCTTTCAAAAAACAAAGATGCTTGGGCCCCACCCCAAACCAATGAAATCAGTGTCTGGGGGTCAGCAAAGGCACGAGTCATCGAGTTTGATATTTGGAAACTAAGTTGGAGGGATAGCCATAACAAATTGCTACAGATGCCAAGAAGAATACCTACTATAATGCCAGTTTTGAAAACAATAACTTAGAAAAAAANCTGAGCAACAGCGGTTTGAGTCCCAGCCCGAGCTGAGCAGCCGCTGAGCAGCCGCTGAGCTGCCAACAGGTGGCAGGATGGCTCAGCTAAAAAAAATAAATCAATCAATCAAGGTGGGTGGGGTAGAGGGGTGAGGAGGAGTGAGGAGGGGTGAGGAGGGGTGAGGAGGGGTGAGGAGGGGTGGGGAGGGCTGTCTGGGAGAGATCAGTGTCTGTCCTTACCTTATCCAGTAGGCTGTCTTCTAAGTTTTCCGTAATCAGGGATTTCATGGCTTCTTGTTCAATCCTGAGTGGGGCAGCAGTCTTGGTTTTTCTCAGTGAAGGACACACTTGTGGTAGCTCTCCCAGTAATGTTAGTCTCTGAGTGCTAAATTTCTCTGGGAACATGTACCTGGACCAGAGGCTTACCTTCTCAATTCGTCACTTAAGTTCTTATTTCCAAATAGTGAGCATCCATCTGTCACCTTTGGGGGAATTTAAAAAAACCAACTTTTTTTTAAGGAAGAGTTGATGAAATTGAATTTGAGTCCAACTTAGTTTTACTCGATGTAGCTCTGTGCTTTGATGGAAGGGCAATTTTCTAAGTGGTGTTTCCCCATTCACACACTTACAAGTTCCACTGAAGACAGAACTGCCCTGCAGTTGGCTTCTGCCCGCCTTGTTACACTCTTGTCCTGAAACTAGACGCACCCTTGAACTCACTATCTTATATCACCTTGTTCTTATCCTGTTGACAGTAAATATCACGTGCCCTCCAACCCAGAAAGTCCCACAGGTTAATTTAACTTCTTTACAATAAACAAAATAGGAAACTGCCCAATGAGCAGACTGGCACCCACCGTTATGCCTACAAACAAGTGATCAGGTCTTGTCAACCAGATCAGGGCACAACAATTTGCATGTAGAAAAGCGCGCGTACACAACACACACACACACACACACACACACACACACACACACGCCTGCCAGAGGCCTCCCCCCACTCCCCTCCACCCACCCCCCACTCCCAAAACACAGAGACACATCCAGCAATGACAGGGCGGGGATCCCTCTGCTCACCTGCTNTTTTGCTTCTCCATAGATTGGCCTCAGTTTCCTCCATTCTCATTTGACTCTATTTAAGCATAAGAGCTTACCCAAGGAAGCTTTTTTTTCCTTTTACTTTAATAGAACTTATAAATCCTGTCTTAGAAAGAGGCTGTGAAGGACATTGAATCATTGGTTGGCAATAATATTCTTGTAGTGAAAAGGATTACTGGTTCTCGGCCTTGGCTACACATTGAATCATCTGGAGAGCTTTCAAAAAACAAAGATGCTTGGGCCCCACCCCAAACCAATGAAATCAGTGTCTGGGGGTCAGCAAAGGCACGAGTCATCGAGTTTGATATTTGGAAACTAAGTTGGAGGGATAGCCATAACAAATTGCTACAGATGCCAAGAAGAATACCTACTATAATGCCAGTTTTGAAAACAATAACTTAGAAAAAAACCCAATTGAGTATGTGTGTATCTATCTTTATATTATATTATATTTAGATATATACTATATAATATATATAATATATTTTTATAAGTATGCATCATTAATATATAATCAGAAAAAACTTACATTACCTTTTTTTTTTTTTAAGCTATGTTTTGCATATGGCTTTAGCACACACAATGCCCTCTACTGGAACAATATTCCTTTGATTTCTTTTCACCTGGCTAACGCTTTCTTATCTTTGAGGCCTCAACTGATATTCCTTTGAGATGGATTTGCTCTCTCTGTCACATTCAGTCCTGTCCCACTGTCCTTTGCTTTCAGAGCACTTATCACAGTTTGAAATTATTTGTGTGGCTATTAGACCAAGGTCTGTCCACCCTCCTCTAGAGTGGGAGCCACAAGAGATCAGAGAGCAGGTCTGTTTGCCTTCCCAATGAATTCCCAGTGCCTTCACCACTGCTGGCCACATAGAGGTCTCCAAAAATTCTTGTCAACTTCTTGGATCATTTCTCTGTATTTAATAACTTTCCACATGGTCCTACCTTGTGCTTTAATGAGATTTTGGGCTCTCTGTCTGGGACTGTGTCTTACAACTCTCAGTATTCTCCCAAGTACTCAACAGGTCTCTGGCAGATTTGATATGTCAATAATCCTTGGTTTCCCTAGGAGAATCAGCATTTTTCCTTATATCATTCCCACTGCTGCTGTCACCTTCTCCTGCTGCTCTGGGGGAAAGATAAATTGGGATAAAGTTCCTCACAGTCCCAGAGGTTTCAGTTCTTTGACTACACTTTAGCTCTTTTGATTATATTTAGATGGTCACGAAAAAATTACAGGTCCTTTTTTGTGGGCTTCCCCTTCCTCCACCCCCAATGGTACAGTTTATTGTTCCCTCTTGTTATGAACTGAATTTTGTCCCCTCCAAATTCATATGTTGAATTTCCAACCTGCAGTAGCTCAGAATGTGACTATATTTGGAGTTAGGATCTTTGAAGACGTGATGAAGCTAATATGATGCCATTTGATTCAATCTGACTGGTGTCCTTGTAAGAAGAGACACCAAGGATGTGTGTACACAGAGAGAAGGCCATGTGAGGACACAGTGAGGAGGTGGCCATCTGCAAGCCAAGGGGAGAGGCCTCAGGAGAAACCAAACCTTGATCTTGGACTTCTAACCTCCAGAACTGTGAGAAAATAAATTCCATTATTAAAGCCACTTCACCTGTGGTATTTTGTTATAGCAGCCATAGCAGACTAATATATCTCTGTTGAAGAACTCACTTGGGTTTCCCAGGGCTAGACAGAGAGGAACCTCAGTGACCCCATCCTTTGTTGCACTCCCTGCCACCTGTCAACCAATTGCCCCAGGCAACAACTTTTCAGCTGGTGCCTGCTAAAGGATGAGTAGCTTGCTTTTATGAGACACATTTCTGCTACTCTTCCCACCTCCACCAGAAATTAACAACCACTTGATCGTTTCTCTTTACTCAGGAGTTTCAATTCTAGGACCATAGGATGGTTGCTATAATGACCCCTGCCTCACTCCCCTTTATTACTTTTCTTCAGGAGGCCTTGCAGGTACTCTTCAAATGATTCACCTAGTGATCAGTCTTGATAACACTACAGTTCTTGATTTAGACATCCAAATTAGGAATCTACTACAGTAAAATCTTCTGAGCTTTCCCTCAGGACTTTAGGAAACCAAGAAAGCCCACAAAGGCTACACTGAGGATAACACCCTGCCCTTCCTCTCAGAAAGGTAAAATACTCAAAGAGCATGCTGGAGGCATCGTCACCAAAAGAAACATTCAGACCCCACTGCTCTGTTCCACTACTCAGAAGCCACAATATTTGTTCTTGAAACATGACTAAGGAAACCAAATGCCAAGGAAAACATGGCTTTTTACCATAGGTTTATGGCAGTTTCTAATCTACAATCAGTGTTGAGAAAATAAAATTTGGCCTTTTGGGCAGGTGCTCCTTCAATAAAAGGAATCAAGGTCAAACCATCCAGACAAAATAATAACAACAGTAAGAAAGAATAGAAAATAAATGAAGTTTGGTAGCTAAATACCAATTCGTCTCTTCATTAGTAAACATTTCACTAAAAAAACAAAAAAAAACCTGGTAGAAGAAAGTGTCAAATGACTGGTACCAATTGAAATATGTCTTTTATACACTTGGCTTTAGTTGCTAAACTTATCATATAAACACTAAAATTTGTCTTGCTATCAAGTCTCTGCCTCAGTAGCTAAATATCCTTGGGGTCATGGAATAATGAGTGAGGGCAGAGACAAGTCTGATTTGCAGAACTGTGGGATACTTTTACTGTCTTCATTTTTCACTCCAGCATCAAGAGAGGCAACACGACAGTTCAAGTCCTATTCAGAGGAAGGCTATAACAAAGTCCTATTAACAAAAGATATTAGGTTAAGTCCCCTTCTCCCACATTGCAATGCCTATCACTGCCACCTCCTAATTCATTCTCTCCCATCTCCATGACAACCAACCCCCATCAGTCACAAACAGCCAGAACACTATCAACCAAGAAGTAAAGAGGGAGCCTTTATCCCCAGCTCATGGGGCTTTATTTCAAATAATGACCTTGTTTCTCAGTAAATTCTTGCCTTATTACCACATCGAGTAGCCAGTCATTAGCACTAGAGAGATCCAAGGGCTCCTGAGCTCTTGGCACCAAGGACTGCCTAGATTCCGGTTTCCTCTACAATATCCAATTAAGAGCAAGATTACATAAATGCTCAGCTTCCCAGCTCAGTCTAACTATACCTCAATCATTAAATGAGCCTAAAATGATCTAAGATAAAAGGTAATATTGAATGACACTGGGCAGCAAAATAATCATACAAAGCCCCTAACAAAAAGGAAATGAAAGAAATGGCAAACAGACCAACCATACTTGTAGTTCTTTGTACCTCAGCTTGGGTGCCCAGTACAGCTCACCCTACCTCCTTTTGATTGACTACCTCTAGAAGCTTCCTAAACCAAAATATCTGTTATAAATACTTCAGGTTAATTGAGATGACCCAGTTTAAGATATAACAAACCATGGCTGTAATTATTGGGAATTATAACAGTTTTTCTACACAAGCTGGGGCCATTACTTCATATAGTTTGTAATCCTGAATTGGATGAAAGCCAACTGCTCCCAGAAAGACTGCTATGAAGGTAGACAAAATAACATATAATTGACAAATCTGTCTGCCATTTGGAAATCTGTCCATAATTTGGTTTTAATCTCTTGATAAGTGGATTTTGCATTTTCTACTTTAAAGCCTTCAATAAAGTCTCTCAGGATAGCAGTGTGCATTTTAGTTAAGCTATAGGACAATGATAACACTTTTTTGTTTTGTTTTGTTTTTTTTACATTAACATGATGCCACACTAGAGAATTGCAAACATGGAAGAGAAACCAAAAGGGCCCATTTTCATGATGACAGAAACACGGACACTTAATTGCAATACAGGGTGATAAGTACAACCAGTGGGAAGTACAAGCAAGATCATCCACGGTACTAAAGCAAATAAAATCAATATTACCCAGCAGATGAAGGAAAACCTCACTGAAGAAGGAACATTTAGTCTTGAAAGGTGGAAAGATTTATGAGGGAGTTCAGAAAGGGAAGAGTGTTCCAAAAAAAGACAATAGCATTTTCAAAAGCATGGAAGCAAGGGATGTCACTGAAAACAGCAGAGGAAAGACCACCAAGTTGTCTCTCCTTGGGGCAGAATCAACTTTTTCAGAAATCAGAAAATTAACCAAAGGCTTGCAGCAATATGGGGGGCATTTATTCAAGAAAAACAACCAAATCTTGGTACGAGAGAGAGCTATATGGTATTCTAATTTTTCCTATATTTCACTCCATAGGTCCACAGTAGCCTTGAAAATGAACAGCCCATACTCATGGTGAAAACTTGCAGCTTGGCAGCCACAAGAGGAAGCAGAACAAGGGTGGAGTTCCTCCAGAGCCTCATTCCAGAAAACTATCTAGGCAGATTGAAAATTATCTGGGAGTTCCCTGGGAGACCTCACTTGCTGTCGATAAATGACCTGACTCAGGCCTCTCCCAGTACAAAAAGACTTTTCCCTAAGTGCATTTGTCAAAACAATTACAGTTAATTGTTAAACATTGTGGCTTCCTAAAAGGTGAATAA